GTGCCACCGCCGCCCCCACCACCTCCGGGAGGGCCCCCTGATATCCCTGGAGAACAAGGCCCAGAGATAGGCCCTGGTAAGTGGAGTGAACTATCTCAGATCCTCTAGGGCTGGCGGGAAGCGAACCAGGGCTCCTCCCCTCGATCAGGGGACCCTCTCTACCAGTCTCCTCCAGCCTCCTGCCTTGCTTGTTAGGCCTGGCTGGGTTAGTTCCCTCCAGTGTCTGCACTGTTCACAACTTGTTCCTGCTCCCAGGGGTGAAGGCCAAGAAACCCATCCAGACCAAATTCCGGATGCCATTGCTGAACTGGGTGGCACTGAAACCCAGTCAGATCACAGGCACTGTCTTCACTGAGCTCAACGATGAGAAAGTGTTACAGGTAAGCAGGTAGCAGAGGGCTGCAGGGTGGTCACCTTCTTCAGGGTGGGGAACAGGGCATGCGTGGGCTTTCAGACCCTGGATTGGTGCATCCAGAAGTCAGTATCCTGACCGTTGCAGGCTTTCCTCTCCCCAGAGTGTGGTCTCTCCTTTCTGCCCATTTCCCACAGATAACTAAGGCCTGGGCCCTTCTGATTCGTTTCGCTTTGAAATGGGCTCCCTGTCTCCTGGGCCATTGCTCACACTGTTTTCTCTGCCCGAAATAATCTCTTTTACTGCCAGCTGCTCAGCCTTCCCTTCAGCATTAATGGCCAGGAATCTGGGTCCTCTGTGTTGTGTTCTTCTCTGTCACATCTTTCTTGTGTCTCCCCTGTATCTCCTGTCAAGACTGTGGTCAAGCTAGCGCACTGGTTATTCTGTCCAATGGGTGTTCTGTCAGGCTATACTTGCTGCCTTTGCTGTGGGCACAGTGTTGAGCCGGGAGTGTGGGCAGGTCTCAGCTCCAGTCAGCCTAGCAGTCTCTTCCTTGCATCCTTAGGAGCTAGATATGAATGACTTTGAGGAACAGTTCAAGACCAAATCTCAAGGCCCCAGCCTGGACCTCAGCACCCTGAAGGGGAAGGCGGCTCATAAAGCTCCCACCAAGGCAACACTCATTGAGGCCAACCGGGCCAAGAATTTGGCCATCACCCTGCGCAAGGGCAACCTAGGGGCAGACAGAATCTGCCAGGCCATTGAGACGTGAGTACCTGTGCACTAGGCTAGGGTCATCAGGCCGAGCCTCATAGGAACCCCAGCAGTAGCGGAGGCAGGTGGATCTCTGTGAGTTTAAGGCTAGATTGTTTTACATATTGAGTTCCAGGATAGCCAGAACTATATGGTAAGACCCTGTCTCAAAAAATCAAACAGGCAGGTGGATATCTGTGAGTTGAAGGCCAGCCGGGTCTACAGAGTGGGTTCCAGGACAGCCTGGGTTGTTACATAGAGAAACTCTGTCTTGACGCCCCCCACCAAAAAAAAAAAAAAAAAAAAAAACAAAAAATTTTATAATGTTTGGGGACAGAACCCACCAAACGTTACACCAATCCTGGTGAGGGAACATTGTCCTCATTTTTTTTGCCAAGAAAACAGACTGTAGGTGCCCAGATTGGGACCTCCCCATTTGCTTCCTGCTTCTGCCCATCATGGACACCCAGGCCGAAGGATTTATGTATAGCACCTGCCAGTGTTGTATGATAGGACAGGGGTTTCCCAGCTTCCCTTGACTCCTCTCTCCTTTTCCGAAGCTGGCTGGCTGCAGATACCAAATGTTGACGATTGTTTATTCAGCCCTTTTCTCTGGGGCGGCGGCACCCAATCTCCCCCCTGTTTCCTCATGCAGCTATGACCTACAGACTCTGAGCCTGGATTTCTTGGAGCTGTTGACCCGTTTCCAGCCCACAGAGTACGAGCGTAGCCTGATAGCCCGCTTTGAGAAGGAACGGCGGCCGATGGAGGAGCTGTCAGAGGAGGACCGGTTCATGCTGCGCCTCAGTCGCATCCAGAGACTGCCCGAGCGCATGAACACCCTCACCTTCCTGGGCAACTTTCCAGACACGGCTCAGCTGCTCATGCCGGTGTGGGCAGGACGGGCAGGGTGGTGTGGTGGAGCCTGGGCTGGGGGAAGGGAGGAAGCTTCTCTGAGCTCAGCTCACTTCCTCTTCACCCCACGCTTAGCAACTGAACGCCATCATCGCAGCCTCAATGTCCATCAAGTCCTCTGACAAGCTGCGCCAGATCCTGGAGGTGAGAGCCTACGGCGAGGGCCCCGGGAAGCAGGGCCTACCTTTGCCTAGTCTAAGTAGCATCAAAAGGGAGACTCAGGCCTAGTCCACCTGGGATATAGCAAAGATGATGTTTCTGTTTCTCACTTGCATGATCTGATAGCCAAGCTAAGATGGGCGGTGCAGGGGGACATTATCAATGTCAGCCATGCTTGCATAGTGTGGCTGAGCTCCTGCTGCAGGGCTCAGTCAGTCTACGGATTGCTTTGTGAGCGATATGGTCACTGCACCTACTCAGTGGTGTCTCTGCAGACCAGAATACATGGCCATCAAGGGTTTGAGGGGGGAGGTGTTGGCAAGCCAGTTTTAGGGTGGAATGAGAGAGGATGAAGTTAGAGTATGCTCATGGTGTTAACAGCGTACACACGAGCTGTATACACAGGTTGCATGTGCCATGGAACTGAAGGGTCCATTCAGGAAGGCCCGAGTGTGAGGGCTGATTTCTTGCCACCTTTTTTCCATTCTGAGAAGTATGTATTCTTCAAGGGATTTTTCCAGCCTGGATCTCATTCTTTCTCTGGCTTTCCCAGATTGTCCTGGCTTTTGGCAACTACATGAACAGCAGTAAGCGCGGGGCAGCCTATGGTTTCCGACTTCAGAGTCTGGATGCGGTGAGAAGGGGCTCCTGGCCTGGGGGCTGGGGGCTGGGGCTGGTTGGTGGCCCATGGCTTATAACATATCCTTGTCCAGTTGTTGGAGATGAAGTCGACCGACCGAAAACAGACATTATTGCACTACTTGGTGAAGGTCATTGCTGAGAAGTACCCTCAGCTCACGGGCTTTCATAGTGACCTGCACTTCTTGGACAAGGCAGGCTCAGGTACAGGGTGGTGGGGTCTTGAGCCACTGATAGGAGTTAGGAAGGGATACTACAGGGTATAACTGTGGGCATGCTGCCTGATCCCCGGACGCCATGCTGTCCATTCTAGTGTCCCTGGATAGTGTCTTGGGGGATGTGCGCTCCCTGCAGCGAGGCCTGGAGTTGACACAGCGAGAGTTTGTGCGGCAGGATGACTGCGTGGTGCTCAAGGAGTTCCTGAGGGCCAACTCTCCTACCATGGACAAGCTGCTGGCAGACAGCAAGACAGCTCAGGTAGGTTGGGGGAACACGGGAGCACTGAAGCCTTGGGGTGGAGGGGTGGAGCCAGGGCCTGGAGGGGTGTGGCCACAGACAGAACTCTGGGAGGAGTAAGGGACCACCCTGTGTGGAAGAAGGGGCATGGAGCTAGGTCAGGCTCCAAGCTAGTGGTGCTGATGGGGTTGTCCTTGCAGGAGGCCTACGAGTCGGTAGTCGAGTACTTTGGAGAAAATCCCAAGACCACGTCCCCCTCCGTGTTTTTTCCCCTCTTTAGCCGCTTCACCAAGGCCTACAAGGTACAAGTGTCTGATGGGCCTCTCCCTGACAGCAGAGGGAGGAGTGGGGACCACTTCCGTCCCAGGTAGGACAGGGAAAGAGGAAAGGCTGTCCTTACCAAGATCTGCCTTGTGCCCTCAGAAAGCAGAGCAAGAGGTGGAGCAGTGGAAGAAGGAAGCAGCTGTGGACACTTCCGGCAGAGAAGAGCCTCCGGCACCCAAGGTAGGCAGGTGGCTGTCCCCGAGCCTGCGACTGGGGGACACATCCTTTTCACTCTCACGTCTCACCCCTACACCTTCAAGTGTTGAGATAGATCCTGCCCAAGGATAAAGTCAGTGCCCCAGAAGCTAGGGAGAGAGTGGGTTTATGTCTGCGTTAGCTGCCTGTCCTTGCTGTGGGGAACTGCACAGAGTAGGTGGGGTGAGAAGTGTCCTAAAGTTAGAGTTGTTCATCTCCTCAGTCTCCACCCAAGGCCAGGCGACAACAGATGGACCTCATCTCTGAGCTGAAACGGAAGCAGCAGAAAGAGCCACTCATCTACGAGAGTGACAGAGATGGGGCCATCGAAGACATTATCACAGGTGAGAACATACATAGCCAGACCTCTGTCTTCAGCCTCTATTGTGTCATTCTCTTTCTGTTTCTCCCCCATTCGGAGGGATCTGCTGCCTCCTGGCAACTCCTCTTGCCTGGAACTTGCTAGGTAGACCAGGCTGGCTTCAAATTCACAGAGATCCTCCTGCCTCTGCCTCTGCAGTGCTGGCATTGAAGGCGTGCGCCACTGTGCCTGTCCGCCATGCCTTTTGCTACCTTTTCTGTATTTCTTTTGTTTTCTCTCTTTCTACCTTCTATCTCCAAAATCTCAGTGCTCAAGACAGTGCCCTTCACCGCCCGCACCGGCAAGCGGACATCCCGGCTCCTCTGTGAGGCCAGCCTGGGAGAGGAGATGCCCCTCTAGTTCCCAGGTACCTAGATAGACCGGCCTGTGATTCCAGTGCTGGCACAACTTTGGGAATTTGGGGGGGCCAGACATGCCTCCCATGTTTTAGGGGGTGGTGTTTCTGGCTGAGGTAAATCAGTGTCCCCTTCCACGTGCACAAAATCAAATCCTTAGAAAAGTGAGCCTGTGTTCTGGAGCTTGGGCCAATGTGTCCCTTTTGGCTTCCAGATCTTCGGAACCAGCCCTATATCCGCACAGACACAGGACGCCGAAGTGCTCGCCGGCGACTCCCGGGACCCCCACTGCAGGTCACTACTGACCTCTCGCTGTAGCCACTGTGTCTGCTGGTGGATTCTGTAGATCTGTAGGCAGGCTGGAGTTCAAGGAAGGTGGTCCTTAGCTCGGCTGGGTCGAGCATCCGCTCCTCTGGCTGACTACAAGCCTTGAAAGCCCTCACCCCACCAGCTCGCAGCACCCTCGCCCTCCAATAGCCATACTTAGCCTGAGCGCGAGCCTGGTCTGTAACTTACAAAGTGTACCTCGCCGCCGCCCTAGCCCGGAGGATTCTCCTTGGACCTTATTTTTATACAAGATTAATAAAGATGTTTGCAAAAGATGTGCGTCGGCTCAGTGCCCGACCCCACCAGGCGCAGCCAGTTTCGCTCAGCAAACGTTTTACTTGTACAAGCTCTTCATAGCACATCTCTGGAAACAGGCTGGCGAAGGGGAGGAGGGGTGCTTCTGCACTAGAGTTGTCGGTGAGGGAGCCAGCTTCGCGGGGCGCATTTGCTCCAGTGGCTGGCTCACTAGCCCGGCGTGAGGGTGGAGGGGACCTGCGGAAGATCCAGAGGGCAACTCGTTATAGACGCGGGTGCGATCAGCAACACCTGGGTACATCTCCTGCTGCCCCTGCAGTCCCCATGTCTTTTGGTTAAGTTCCCGCTCTACGCCAGCCTCTGATGCCTGCCAATCACTCCCCATCTGCTGTCCCGCCTCCGCCCCATCTGCCCTGTCCTTAGAGTCTCCTCGGCCGATCTGGCCCCGCTCTTGAGGATTCTCACCTTTGCTGAGTGGTCCCAGGTTGGGAGGGAACTTGGGGCGACCTGGCTGATGGGGCTTGGGGAGGCGAACGTCGGGGCCTGGGGATCGGTTCGAGATCCTGCGATCTGGTCGCGACCGCGTGGCCAGATTGGGAATCTGAGAGTAGGGGCTGCGCCCACCTGGGGAGGGATCCAGAGGAGGAAGAGGCGGGGATAGTACTGGGAGGGGCCCTGCGGGAGCAGGTGGGGCTAGGCTGCGGATGACCTGGAGCATCCTTTCCAACCCTCGCCTCGCGGGTCCCACCCTGCCCCACTCGCGGCCGGCTGGGGGCGCACCCTCTCTGTACAGAGTGTGCAGGGAACGCGCTAGCTGGGTGCTGGAGAGGCCGCTGAGACGCGCTGCCTGGCAGAAGTAGTTGAGACCCGTGTGTGCACGCACAGGCCGACCCTGGCTGCGCACCCGGCACTTAAAGTGTGTGTTCAGCCGCAGAGCCCGCTGCTTCTTGGAATAGTAGCTTGGAGGAGAAAAGTGGGACAGCGGGCTCAGACACCGCTTCTTGGTCTCCTCCATCTTTCGTGTGGGGAAACCCAAGCAGGACCAGAAGCTACTTGTCTTTACCTAAACATGACCTAGGGCCCAGGAAATGGACACAGAGCATTCTCAAGAGGTGGGGTGGGGTGGGGTGACTTCCTGCAAGGGCTGGTTCAGTTCTCAGAATCTTGAGTCTGGGAGCTGGGGTTGGCTGTGCCCACCTTGTCACCTCCTGACCTGATTTGGAGGGCACAAAGCCCTGCCTCAGCAACTTGAACAGCACCTCGAGGAGCAGGGTCTGAAGGCCCGGAGGCTCAAAGACCCGATTGCTCCTCATTTGGCCTGAGTACAGCAAACACAGGCAAGAGTGAGGAGGGGTATCCTCATCCAAGACCCCCACACCCCTGCCCATAAGCTTAACCCCTCACTTATGCACTGAGCCAAAAGGTGGTTGTCAGTGAGGACACCCAGGAAGTCCTTGAAGCTTACGATTCCATCACCTGGGAAGACAAGAGGGTGCAGTGGGTACCTCCCTTTTGGAAAGTTTGCCCTGTAGATACGTTGGGGGTTTAAATATACATCGAGAATTATTTGGGATTTTCTCCAACCCTCCTCTAAACCATTTATCTCTTTCAGATAGATTTCATTATTAAATACTTCTGTAGAAGCCAAAGGGTTCTAGTGTGAGTGTGGAGAGAAACAGCTCTTGCCCCTGGGCATGAGGAGCGACTCAGAAGCAAAGTACAAAGCCTGGGAGATAGGAGCTTTCTAGAAGAGGGAACTTAAAAAAAAATAAAATAAGAGGACCAGGCCAAGGACATGGGTCACACTCATTAGGAGATTGACTAGAGTAGGAGAACGCCAAGGCAGAGATGGGCGCCCACCATCCAAGTCGGCCAGCCGAAGAGCCTCACACATCTCTTGTGGGCCCAGCTGGATCCCCACGTTGCGCAGCGCGACTTTCATGCTCTGCATGTCCACGGTTCCCGTTGGACTGCAGCTGAACAGTTTGAAGACATCCTGGAAGGCTGAGGGTGGCGAGAGGAGACTGTCAGCAAGCTGAGAACTATGTGCGGTGGGTGGCCTTGAGACTTTTCCTCGACACTCCAGCGGGGTGGGACTGGGGTCTGGACACTATTATAACGTTTCACTACAATGGACAGCAACAGCACAGTGACTGCTGTGTGCTGGCTCTTAAGTTATTCCATCCTTGCCAGATTTGGACATTTTCTGACAAAAAGCATTTACAACTCATGTCTAGAGGGCAGAGAGATGGCTTGACGAGGAAAGGTGCTTGCTGCCACACCTGATGACCTGAGTTTGAGCCACAGGACCCACAAGATAAAGAGAACAGATTCCCATAAGTTATCCTCTTGTCCTCCACACGAGTGCCACGGTGCATGCTCGGCTTGTGTGCACACACACAAGTGCAAAAATAGTTTAAAAACTCATACCTGGGACTAGAGATTTGGTTTAGTGGTTAAGCTGCTCTTGCAGAGAACCCCTGGCTGCTGTGGGCACTGCACATACCTCCTCACACAACTAAAATTAAAAACCATTAAAAAAATTCACATCCAAGGTCACATGTGGAGTCTGGCTCTGTGGCTGCTCGGGAGCGCCATTGGGGTGTGGCATATAAGCAAGCACTCAGATTGCTGGTGAGGAAAATGATCAGCAATGATTGGGTCCCTGTCATGGAGAAATACCTTCTACCTATTTCCCACCTCTCATGTCAGACCCTGGGAATTTTTTTTTCTGTCCATTCCTCTTTTTTTCTTTATATATATTTTTTATTCTATCCCATCCATTTAGATACCTCTATCCAACCATCCGCCAATACATTTAGTTTTATTTTCCCTATTTCCTTCACAGACACAGGCACAAAGATAAACAGAGTCACAGACACACAGGGACAGATACACACATGCTTCTGGGGGCACAGCAGTGAAGCCTTGGGCTACAGAGAAGAAAAAAATCAGGCTGTCATGGAGGGAGGGTTCAAGGGTCATCAACATGCCACCCTCTGTCGCGAGCACTCCCATGTTTCCTCTCCACTTCTGGACTTACGGTTCTTACCTGCCAGCTGCCGGGGTGTCAGAGGAGCCACACTGTCATCAGTCAGAATGCTTCAGCAAAAGAAGGTGCACATGGGCCTGTTGTGGAGAAATTCTGGGGCCAGGCAGGCCTTGCCCCCACACCAGCACCCCAAACCTGACCTCTAGTTCCTACCCTCACCTCTGAGACTTGGTATCCAGGTCTGACCAGTATGGTTGGGTAGCTTTGGGGTCCTTAAATTCTCTTGCTCTCACTATGGTCTGCTGCTCCTTTGTAGCCATGGTTGCTTCTAGCTCTGATTGGGACAGCTGGTCTGTCTGCAGCCGCAGCCGCCCTTTATGCACCCTGCCAGCCTGCTCCTCGCGTATATCTCGAGTGAGGAGACTCCGAGGCTTCTGTGGAGGCCTTGGAGACAGGGAGAAGAAGGAAGGACAGCCCAGTCAACTGGAGGGCATAGACTCCAGGGACCTAGCAGACAAGGACTGGTGACCAGCTCCACCTCCTCCTCCCAGGATCCTCCGGCCATCTGAACCCACAGCTCTATAAGAAGGGCCTTCTGTAGCAGGCACAGGGCATGAATCTCCAACTCAGATGAGAGAAAAAAAAAAAAAAAGGGCCCCCCCCCCCCGGCCTAGTCGCCAGTACCTTCTCAGTGTCGATGGGGATCTCTTGGTCTTCTGGCCTCTGCTGCCTGAAAGGCAGAGTCACAGGCTCTGAGGCTGCCCCCAGGCTGCCTCTGTGGTGACTTGTTTTGTGTCAGGAGAGCTACCAACCCTCCCTCACAGGCTGACTTCCTGCTGGAACTGTGCTTTAACCTCCCTTCAGGCACCTGGATTTGTGGTTACACTCTGGATACTGAACCAGGATGGCAGAGGCCCTCAAGGAAAAGCAGGCCACAGAACCCCAAAGCCAGGTCCAATAGAAACCCACCAATTACATTTTAAGACATTTCAAGAATATTTAAAAATAATGTTCATCAGACAATGTCTACTCCCAGATTACTAGTGAATGAAACTAGAAACCATAGCCGAGAGCTGCAAGATCTTTAGACACCTGGAGATTATTCACTGCCAGGCTGGGCGTTGGTGGTGCACGTCTTTAATCCCAGCACTCGGGAGGCAGAGGCAGACGGATCTCTGTGAGTTTGAGGCCAGCCTGGTCTACAGAGAGCGTGCCAGGATAGGCTCCAAAGCTACACAGAGAAACCCTGTCTCAAAAAACCGAAAATAAATAAATAAATAAAAATATGATCGAAAGCAGAAAATCAATAATGAAAATAATAAATGCCCAAATCTTGTTCTTTGAAAGACTAATGAGGTGGATGGGGCTGGTGAGACAGCTCAGTGAGTAAAGGCGCCTGCTGACAAGTTTGGTGACCCGAGTTCAAAGGTCCCCAGGACCTACTTGGAAGAAGAGAGCCGACTAATTCAAACTGTCCTGACATCCGTACACTTTCCCCGGCATGGACGTGCACACACACACATGTGCGCGCGCACACACACACACACACACACACACACACACACACACACACACCACTACATAAATAAAAATAGGTGGGAGGGGAAGAGTAACAGCATTGTGAAAGGGACATCACTATAGATCTCACGGATAGTCAAAGCATAATAAAGGAATATTAGAAATGACTATGCCTATAAGTAGATGAGAAGCAGAAGCTGCCAAAACTTACATGTGAAGAAATGATATGAATAAATATCTACTAAGGAAATGGAAGCAACAGTTACAGCCTGCCTCAGCAGAGGGAGGCCCGCTGAAATTCAACTTTTAATGAAGGACCATTCACTTTCTCTACGATAACTGCAAGGCCAGTTGTACCCCAAACAGAAAAAAAGCTTTTCCAGAAAACTACAATATTCATCAAGAACATAATAGAAAAATCTTGTTTTTAAACATCATTTCAGCCACCAGGTGTAGTGGCACACAACTTTAATCCCAGCACTCAGGAGACAGAGGCAGGTGGATCTCTTTGAGTTCCAGACCAGCCTGGTCTTCAGAGTGAGTTCCAGGACAGCCAGGGCAACACAGAAAAAAAAGTCTCAAAACAAAACAACCCTCTCAAAATCCCCCAAACAACAAACAAACAGCAACAGTGTAAATTATTTTGTCCAGGTGTGACGACACCTGGGATTAAAAGTATACACCACCATCAGTCAATACATGATTTTTAATCCCAGCATTTGGGAGGCAGAGGCAGGCAGATCACTGAGAGTTCCAGGCCAGCTGGGTTATATAGTGAGACCCCATCTTAAAGAAATTGTCTTAAAGGCTTTTTGTTTGTGGGTGTATGTGGTGTGTTTATGCAAATGAGTGCAAGTGGTTTTGGAGACCAGAAGAGAACATCTGATCCCCTGGAGCTGGAGATACAGGCAGTTGTGAACTGGCCAGTGTGAGTGCTGGGAAATTAACTCAGGTCCTCTGGGAGAGCAGGAATTGCTAACCACTGAGCCATCTCTCCTGCACAGATGCAAAAATCATTGACAAAATGTTACTAAAATGAAGTCAACAATATATAAAAAGAATTGTACTTGCCAAACTCAAGGTAAATATAATAAAATACTTAAATTTAGCAGGACCTGGTGGCTCATGCCTCTTTAATCCCAGTACTCTTGAGGCAGAGGCAGTCAGATCTCTGAGTTCGAGGCCATCTTGGTTTACATAGCAAGTTCCAGGGCAGCCAGTTCCACATAGAGAGACCCTGTCTCAAAACAAATAAACAAACAAACAAACCCCCCCAAACCTTTGACTCTGCCAACAGAGTGAAGAAAATTAGAAGACAATTATAGACACAAAATTACAAACAACCTCTAAAACTCAACAATGAGAAAATGAGTCATCCGATTAAAATGGGCAAAAGATGTGAGCAGACACCTTAACAAATCAAAGATACAGTCTCCAGCATCTCAAATCACTAGAGAACTGAACAGTAAGATGACACACCACTATGGATCCCTGAGAACTCCAGTATTTCAAACACCGACACCACAAAACGATGAAGACAGGAATTGCTGGGGCTTCAAAGTGATGAGTTTCTCCGGCAGCCACTCCAGCTATTTCTTATAAATCTGAACCCATCTTGATGTTTTGGTTGTGAGCCCAGCCTTTGGTAGCTGAACCACCTCCCCAGCCTCTGAACACACCTTTACAATGTATATTAAGCAGCAACTGTGGTCCTTGGCACTTATCCAGATTATTTTAAAACACAAAATCCACACACTGATACTTATTGCAACCTCCTAACTGCCGAAACGTGGGATCCACCAAGATATGTTTTGGTAGGTGGGTGGAAAAACAAACTGATCCATCTAGATAGCAGAATATTATTGAGTACGGAAAGGAAATGAGCTGTCAAGGCGTGAAAAGACAGGGAGAGAAGACAGTTAACTGCTTAGTAAGGGAAAGACGCCTGTTTGAAAAGGCTGCACGAGGGTCAATTCCAATTCATTCTGGAAAAAGCAGACGGACAGTAACCAATCAGTGCGTGCCTGGAGTTGAGGGGAGGGATGAGTGGGTGGACACAGAGGGTATCCAGGGTGGGCAAACTATTTTGTATGACACTACAATGGGACACATGCCATACACTTGTCACAGGACGTACACTGAGAGGGAGTGAACCCCAACGTCTCCAAGGGCCTTGGGTGATGCTGTGAGCTAGTGTGGGTGTGTGTACCTGTTTCAGAGTGTCCCTGTGTTCCATGCTGTAGGGGCTGGGGGAAGAGAAAGAACACACAGGAACTGTCTGTGCTTGACACTTATTTGGTGCACCTGAAGCCACTTTCAACAATTTTTTCCTTTTGGACAGGATTTTATGTGCCATAGCCCAGGCTGTCCTTGAGGTTACTATTTGGCTGAGAATGACTTTTTGTTGTTTTGTTTTTGAGACAGGGTTTCTTTGTGTAGCCTTGACTGTCCTGGAACTTGCTCTGGAGACCAGGCTGGCCTCGAACTCACAGAGATCCACCTGCCTCTGCCTCCTGAGTGCTGGGATTAAAAGTGTGGCCACCACATCTAGTGCAAGGACAACTTTTAATTTCATTTTCTTCTGTCACCATCTCCTAAGTTCTGGGATGAGAGGTGTGTGCGCCACCTCTGGTTAAAAAGTAGAATTTGTCTTTAAAAATCCCACAAAACAATAAACTCTAAAAAGACAAATCCTAAGAGCGCAATGACACTCCACATCCCCACCCTTTTCCTCTCCCAATTCCTAATCCCACTTCCCTGTCCCTAGGTTCTCTCCCTGCTCAGCCTTCTCCTATGGTCTTGATGGGCTTTTCCCTTGGCAGGGAGCCTGACCAGGGCTGGGCGTGATGACATGCTCCTTTTATAACCCCAGCACTCTGAAGACTAAGGCAAGCAGTTTTTTGAGTTCAAAGCCAGCCTGAGTTACACAGCTATACCCTGTCTTAAAAGAAAAAGGAAGCCATGTGGTGGCATCTGCCTCGACTCCTAGCACCCAGGAGACAGAGGCAAGAGGCAGTCAGGGCTACATAACGAGGCCCAGTCTCAGTAACAGTGACAACGACAACAACAAAAGCTGATGTGGCAGCGTATACATGTGATCCCAGCACTCAGGAGGCAGAGGCAAGAGAATCATTATGGATCTGAGGCCGTCCAGCTACGCCAACATAAAGAACTCCGACTTACAGAAACACAAACCAGGTGTGACGTTAGCGATTGTAGCCCCAGCACTAAGAGACCAAGGTAGAGAGATTGTCACAACTTTGAAACTAGCTTGGGCTACACAGAGTGAGATGTCCCCTGCCCTTCTCATACTCACAGCTGCCTATGGATCAAGCTGGCCCCTTCTCTTTCTCCAGGCCCAAACTCCCTTCCCCACTTCACAGCCTCCTGACCTTTGCCAAAAGCGGAAGCTCTCTCACATTGCCTTTCTTCTGGGCCTCTGAGGCCTGACCCCAGACATAGTGGATGTGTGCCTCTGTGCATATTTTACCCCTGCAGCTGACCCCGGGCATGCATGTGCCCGTTCTTGTGGATCGTGTTTCCTGTCTGTGGGCAAGCTGCCTTATGCAAGTGTCAGGCTGGCAATGTGGGGGAACTCCTCCGGGTTGCCATGTTGGATATGTCACCACACATGGGGTCTCCCTACATTTGGAGTTACTTCAGGCTTGGGGCTGTGGCCTTCTAAAAGATCTATCAACCTCAGCTCTTCCCTCTTTCAAGCCTTCACACAATATCCTCCCTAACCCATGGCCACAGCAAGACTTCCCTTTGGATTTACTTTCTCATCCGGTCAGCCCCACCTCCAGGAGGCCCTATCTCCCACATCCTCATGCCCATATGTCTCTAGACTTAGGCCTAAAAAACTGGGATGGAGCTTTTAGGTGACCTAGTGATCTGGTAAGGGCAGTAAAGTGGAAGCACTTTGGGGAGTAGTCAGATCCTACACAGCTAGCCAGAGCTCAGGGGACAGGTGGGCTCAAGGGAAACTAAAAAATGGAGGTGTCATCCCTAAAAAATTGCTTCCAGAATATAGCAGCCAGGTGTGCTCAGTGGTTAGGAGCCATTGGTCCTCCAAAATATGAGCTAGAGCCCAAGCAGGGTGGTGCATACTTGTAATGTCGTCACTCAAGAGGCCGAGGTAGGCAGATCAAGGGTTTGACGCCAGTCTGGGCTACAGAATTAGACACTATCTAAAAAATCCAAGGACTGAGGATATAGCCCAGGAGTAAAACACTGGCCTAAATATGTTCAGGTCCCTGGGTTCCAACCGAGCACCTTAAAAAAAAGTCTTCACCAGGGCCAGCACTGGAGGCTTTACTGTTTTTGTCTAGTCATTTCTCTGGGGATGAGGGGATGACAACTTAAAAAGGATTTTCAGCAATAATGGATTCCCTTTCTTGGTTCCCGGCACCGAGCTGCAACACAAAAGAGACAGTGTCACTAGGGCATTAGGGTCTGGGGTGTGTCTCCCACTGCATCTGTGGGGCAGCTGGCATTCTGTTCTGTGTCTACATGTCATCAGAGGCCAAGGGCTCTGAAGCCCGGTTCCCCTATGCTCATTCATGCAAGTGTCCTGTGGCCTAGGAATGGAGGCAGACAGCATGATTCCTGATACTACGTGGCCCTGCCCATTTTGAACCCAGGTTTCTGTCCTAGCCCTGGAGAGCTCACCCTCCATGGTCCCCAGGCCTCCTCTGGCCCTGGCTTTGCTACTGCACCTCAGGTCACCGGAATCTTGTTCCTAGCAGCCTTTGTGAGGTCATTGAGGTTGGGCCCTCGACTAAGCTTGCTTGAGTTCCCTACTTCAGCCCCTCCCCCCTCAATTCCACTGTTTCACACCCCACCCAGCTATGTGAGAACTGAGCCCATCCCCACATGCTAGCCAAAGACTGCAGGGCAGTGTCACTCACTCTTCTTTGGCTCCCTGAAGCTGAGGGGACGTGGTTGGTGCCTGGACAAACTTCACTTCTCCTTGGATGGTGTGGTTCTTGAGCCCTGTCTTGCTAAAATTTATGTAAGAGCAAGCTACATTCCTGGTTTCTGGAGTCCAGGATTTGTGAGTTGTCATGTTTTCGGGTTTTTTCTCTTGCTTCTCCGAGGACATCTGGGTAATCTGGGTAGTCTGGGAAAACTTGACGGACTGGCCTGGCTGGCAAAACTCTCTAGACGTCTCCTGGGACTTCTCGGATGAACCTTTGATTATATTTTCTAAATTAGGCATGTTCATGCTGCTGGAGGAGGCTACAGCCAGGGAAGATGCAAAGTTGATCAGATCTGCCAGACCAAGGGCTGCGGGCAGGCTGGTGCAAGACCTGCTGGAGCCTAGTGGCCGTGGGGCACACTCTGTGAGAACCTGGGAAATGGAGACATACTTTTCCCGGGGGCTCTTGACCTTCTGGAAGCTGAGCTCTGACGCCTGGGTGAGCTTGTTCGACCAGAAGAGGTGTTTGGAGGTCTGCACTCGGATGGAGCGGAAATGGGTGGAGGTGCACACAAGCTCCTCTTCCATGCTGCTTGAGCTTGTTTTGAAGCTCCAGGGCCTTTCTATCAGCTCTTCCTTATAGGGCTTGAGGGATTCGATACTGTAGATCTGCTGCTCCTGGCTTTCAGTGATGTAGTCCCCCTCAGCATCCGGTGTGGGTTTAGAGGGCATCATTATTGCCATCTCCTCCAGCTGTGGCACTGGGCCTGGGTTCGGCTGCACTTCGGGTAGGGACTCCAGCTTGGGCAATTCTGCTGCAGGCTGAAAGATTTCAAATGAAAGCTGAGGCAACAGGACCTGGACACCCCTTCCCCCCAGGACTCCCCTGACACACCAAGCCTCTGTCCTGCTTCTGTGTGGCACACTACCCACCCCTTATCTCAGAGACCTGCCTGGAGCAGAGAAGGAAGTGCAGACAGCTGGTGAAGGTGTGTGTGTGGCCTGGTCCTATTGTCCCAGGATTGCCAAGCATAAAGACCCTGCCCTCCTTTCCTGCTACCACCCACTGCACAAAGTGTGATGATCTCACCGCTTCTTCTTCATCCTCCTTGTCTTTATGGGACTGGGGCTGCTGCTGGTCACTCCTGAGGCATAAGGAATCAAAACAGGTGACACAGATGCATGGGCAGGGTCATCAGAGGTAGCGATCTCTAGGGCCCTCAGAGTTCTGGCCTTGCACAGGGGTAGGCAAGAAGACCCGAGCTCTACTCCCCACTGTCCCCGCTCCATTGGGAGCGCTGGAGTGTGTGTGTGTGTGTGTGTGTGTGTGTGTGTGTGTGTGTGTGTGTGTGTGTGTGTGCATGGACACAAATACAGATGTGAAGGCTAGAGGATGATTTTATGTGTCTACCTTAGTTATTCTCCACCTCATTTTTTGGAGACAGGGTCTCTCTCTGACCATGGAGTTCATTGCTTTGCTAGAGTGGCTGGCTGGTGAGCCCCTGGGATCTTCCTGCTTCTACGTCCCAGCTCTGAGAGTTACAGTGTTAGCATGTTCAGCTTTTTACCTGGTTGTGGGATATCTGAACCCAGGCCCTCATACTTGTGCTCTAAACACTTTACCCACTAAGCTGGTTATGGTATTTGTAAGACTCTCCAAGCTTCAGGAACTCTGGAGAGCTTGCCAGTTGACTCTTCAGCTCCATTTAGTTGGAGAAGGGGCCTGGGAATCTTCATTCTATTTTTTTTTTTTAGTGGGGGTGGTCTTGGGACAGGATTTCTCTGTGTAGCATTGGCTGTCCTGGGACTCACTATGTAGACCAGGCTGGGAATCTTCATTTTTAAGTGCCACAGGAGAGCCATGATGCTCAGAAAATGGCTCCCTACACAGGGAGAGCCTAGAGTGAGGCCCATTACCCACCTGCCACATTCCCAGGGGATAGCTCTGAGAAGCCCTGGATGGGGGGGGGGGTAGTGCAGGGCCCCTTCAGTTCTTCTTAGCCCCTACTTCTAGCTGTTTCACAACCTTGAATTCCCGTTCCCTCCTCCTCACGCACCTGCCTTCCCTACCTTGGACAGCTCTGTCTGACCCCCAGCAAGGCAACCATGCCTCCACGTGCTCCACCCTAGCCCCCTTCGAGGGTTGGAGGCTGAAGGCAGAGATGAGACCACAGGCAACCCTAGCCTCTGGCCTGGACACTACTCCTGAGATCTGGGAAGGGGCTAAAGAGGAGATCCTAATTGGATGGGAGTGTATGGTGTTGGAGGAAGGGCTGAGAGCCTGGGGTTTGGGGGGAGGGGCTGTGCTGATTGGGGAGAGGGACTGGTCCTCACGTTCTTTCCATGATATCCACGATATCCACGTCATTCTTGCCACAGCAGGGGAATGAACTGGTACCTGGCCCGGAGGAAAAAGGAAAGGACAAGGAGCATCAGGGTGAGGGACAGGCCCTGAGCTGGTGCCAATTTCTTCTGCCCCCACCTCCCGCCCACTCGACATTGTCTCTCCCCTCATCACCCCCTTGCCAGGGTCAACAGTCTGACTTCCCTGTCTGCTACCCTCCACTTGCCATCTTGGCCTTGTTCCAGCTCTTAAACCTATCGCTTGCATGCACAATTGTGAATGCCCACAGTACTCCATCTCGTCGTTTCCACAGAAAGCACCGGAGGGTGCTCACTGCCTAGGCTTCCCATAGCTGGTGGTTGCTGAATCAAGGACTTGAATTCAGGCTGCAGAACTAACTCCATTTTCTGCTCTGCCGTACCCCACAGGAGCCCATCACACTCCTGAAGGACTTCCCCCACCCCACTCTTTATCACTGCTGCTTCCCAAGCTCTTTTTGGTCACCTATTCCTGACCCAGACCAAGGCCTACACTCAGAGTGCTTGACCCGAGTTTGTGCCAGCACCACAATCCTGTGTGGTGAACTTGAATCCATTCTTGGAAGTCCTAGGGGCATCTCGGAGCCAGGAGACAGCCAGGCGGCTTTTGTCCTCTAATACTGAAGCTGCCCTTCACTCTCTGGAAGTGAGTGGGGCACTAGGCTGCCTCAGTCTCTTGCTTCCCTGGTATGGGTCAGCATTGATGGCGAGGGATCATGACTTCCATGCATTATGCAAAGCGGGTTCCCAGGAGCCTAGGGTGGAGCAGGAAACGTTAACCTTACTTTCTGGCTAAGAATTGCTCTCAGGATTGTCTCAGAAGCGTGAGAAAGTGCTGTGGTTTCTTCCCAGGGATGGAAGGGGCTGTCCTTGCTTGGCTGGTCTTAGGCATTGGGATTTAGACACATCTGTGCTTCAGCCTGACCTGGGGATCGTAGGTCAGCTGTGTGGTGAGGCTCTGAGAGAAGCACCATGGACAGGAACTCGAAGGACAGCCCTGCCTCCTTGATCAACAAGCTCCTCTGGCTTTCTTCAGTCATCGTCTTCGTCAGCTTCAGCTCCATTTGACCCTGAGCAGGGCTCTTTCCTGCCCAACCACAGAGCCCTTCCTTGGCCACTTGACAATTTTTCTGGATATCTGATCATCACACAACTTCAATCCTTCCATAAACTGCAACCGTGTATGTACAGAAGGGCGAATTACAATTTTGAAAGCTTCATAGTAGCACTGGGGTCTGGGAGACAAGGTCCATGTTGCCTCCATTTGGGATTTCTGTGCCTGCCTTAGGAGTGTTCTGTTAGAAAGTCAAGTGGCAGTCTGTGACAGATGAGGTATTTCCAATGTCCAGTTATTTCTAATATTCTAGAAATACCATCTCAAGTCCTAAAGGTGCACTGAAAACCCACCAGCTCTTAAAGAGAGCCCACAGGATTTGCACATCAAAGAGAACGTGTGTGAATCAAGACAACTTTGTCTTTTCCTTCCATGTCTTGTGTCTCCTTTTTCCTTCCTTCCCTTTTTTGCACTGGGAATGATCACTACATAATTGTGGAATGCGGGCAGACAGCCTTGCTTCTTTCCCATGTTCTCGTGGGGAACAGTCAGAATCCCATCTTTATGTTGGTGGTGGTTTGCTTCATACAAGTCTTTTTATCAGATTGAAGTTTCCTTTCCTAATTTGCTCAACTGATTTGAAGAAATATTTATTTTTATGATTATGATTACTATTATTATCATCATTTTAGGACAGGGTCTCACTATGTAGACCAGGGCTGGCCTTGAACTTACAATTTCCTTTCCTCTGACTCCTGGATGCTGGGATTAACGGTGTTCACCACTACACCTCGCCTCCTATTATTAGAAATAGCATCTTCATCACTTTGAGACAGGTTCTCGCTCTGGAGACCAGGCTGGCCTCAAATTCATAGAGATCAGCCTGCCTCAGCCTCCTGAATATTGGGATTATGGGTATGCGGCATTCTGCCTGTTCAAGTTTTTGAAATAAGTTATTTTAATTTTATTTTATGTGCATTGGTGTGAAGATGTCAGATTCCCAGGAACTGGAGTTAACAGTTTTGAGCTGCCATGTGGGTGGTGGGAATTGAGCATGGGACCTCTGGAAGGGCAGCCAGTGCTCTTAACCGCTGAGCCATCTGCCCAGCCCCTGCTCCCCCCATTACTTTTAAAATATCTTATTATTTTAATAATTATGTGTGTGTGCCACATGAGTGCAGGTGCACTTAGAGACCAGAGGTGTGTGAACCCTGGGAGCTTGCTTTATATATAAGAGGTTGTGAGCCAACAGATGTGGGTGCTGGGAATTGAACCAGGGTCCTCTGCAAGAGCAGTATGTGCTCTTAACCACTGAGCAGTCTCTAGCCCCAGGTAACAGATCCACCTGGAAGTGGAGTTACCTAAAGTTGTGAGTGGCCCAAAGTGAGTGTTGGGAATCGAACTCAAAACTTCTACAAAAGACCAGTATGTGCTCTTAATTGCAGAGTCATCTCGCCAGCCCCAAGTTGCTGTTGCTTGAGACAGGGTCTCTCTATGTAGCCTTGGCTGGCATGGGACTTGGTCTCAGATCCACCTGCCTCTGCCCTCCGATTAAAGGTGTGTGCCACCATGCTTGGCTTAGCGAGACTTTTTGTTCAGAACATGATCTTTTTTGTAGATCTTTTTTCTTTCTGAGACAGGGTTTCCATGTGCATCCCTAACTCTCTTGCAACTAGCTCTGTAGACCAGGCTGGCTTTGAACTCAGAGATCTGCCTGCCTCTGCCTCCCCAGTGTTGGTGTTAAAGGCTAGCGCCACCACACCCAGTGTGAAGATCATTTTCAAAGAAGAGTGTGTTTTCTGCTGTGGAGTGCAGTGTTCTGCCAATGTCAGTTATCAGGTGGAGCCATTCAAGTCCTTGAGATACTATTGACTTTGTGTCTACTAGTCCTTTCTGCTCCTGAGAGGAGTACTGAAGTCGTCAACTATGATGGCAGGTCACACTTTTTCTCCTTGGAAGTTACATCAGTTTTCCTCTTAAGTTTTATGGATGTCATACATGTATCTGATGTATTTTGATTATATTTACCCCCATTACACAGTCTTATTCTTCTCTGCCTAACTGAAGCAACTTCCTACTTTCACATTTTCTTTCTCTCTCTTTGTGTATTTATTTACTATTGGTTTTTGGAGACAAGGTTTCTCTATGTAACAAGCTCTGGCTGTCCTAAAACTTGCTTTGTAGACCAGGCTGGCATAGAACTCACAGAGATCTACCTGCCTCTGCCTCCTGACTGCTGGAATTAAAGGTGTACACAGCATCATCTGGCTAAATATTTAAAAATTATTTTTTTGCCGGGCATTGGTGGCGTACACCTTTAATCCCAGCACTCGGGGAGGCAGAGGCAGGCGGATCTCTGTGAGTTCGAGGCCAGCCTGGTCTCCAGAGCGAGTTCCAGGATAGGCTCCAAAGCTACACAGAGAAACCCTGTCTCGAAAAACCAAAAGAAAAAAAATAAAAATTATTTTTTTAATGTTGTGTATGCTTGCATGGCTGTATACAGGTATATGCATGTGAGTGCAGATGCCAATGGAGGCCAGAAGAGGGCGCACTGGATTCCTTTGGAGCTGGAGTTGTAGGTGGTTGTGAGCTTCCTGACCTAGATACTGGGATGTGAACTTGAGTCTTCTACAAGAGCAGCAAGTGCTCTTAGTTGCAGAACTGCCTCTCTAGCCCCTCCCCTCCTTCTCTTTCCTGACTCTGACAGCATCTAATATAGCACAGGCTGGGTTCAAACTCCCTACCAAAGCTGTCCTTGCACTCCTGATCTTTTTGTCTCTGCTCGTGAGTGTTGGGACTGTAGGCCACACTTGGACATTATATTAGTTTTTTTTCCCCATGTACTTTGAAGCTCTGATGTTAAGGACACAATCCTTTAGAATAGTTATTTGTTCTTTTGTTTTGTAGCCCTGGGGATGAAACTCAGAGCCTTGATAGTCCTTTTCTTTTTTTTGGTTTTTCGAGACAGAGTTCCTCTGTTGCTTTGGAATCTGTCCTGGAACTAGCTCTTGTAGACCAGGCTGGTCTCGAACTCACAGAGATACACCTGCCTCTGCCTCCCGAGTGCTGGAATTAAAGGTGTGAGCCACCAATGCCCGGCCCTAGATAATCCTTTTAAAATGATAATAGTATTGCTATTATTTTGGTTTTCTTTATATATATATTATATATAATTTATTCTTTGTTTGTTTATTTACTTATTGAGAGAGGGTTTAATGTTTCTCTGACTGACTTTGAACATGCTGTGTACTTACTTAGGATGACCTGAAATTTCTGATCTCTCTGCTTCTATCTAACAAGTTGCTGGGATACAGGCAGGTGCTACCACACCTGGCTTAAGTGGTAATGGAACTCAAATCCAAGCTTTTGTGCACGCTAGGCAAGGACTCAACCAACTGGGCTACAACCCAACTGCTGTTAGCATAGTTTCTTGAGACAAGGTCTTACTACGTAGCGTAGGCTAACCTGGAAGTTACTGTGTTACACAGGCTGTTCTCAAACTTTCAACCCTCCTTTCTCTGCCTGTGAGTACAGAGATTACAGATATACACAACCATACCTGGCTTACTCAAGATCTTAACTTAAAAAAAAGCATTTTCTTTTATAATTAAAACATTAACATTTATTTGTTTATTATGCTCCGTGTGTGTGTGTGTGTGTGTGTGTGTGTGTGTGTGTGTGTGCTGGAATTATTTGATTTGAAACCTGCTTTGATATTGATAATGTTTTTAGCTTTTTGTAGTCTCATGTTCATGGTACTGGGGATTAGCATTAGCATGAGCTATCACTTTACTTTTAATCTTTGTATGTTTATATTTAAAGTGGATTTTAAATGGGCAGCGTATAGATGAGTCTGATGCTTTCTTCTCTTTTTCCTGGTAGTGTGGACTGCAGAGAGAGCCTGTGCATACCAGCAAGCACTCCATCAATACAGCTATATCCCCAGACCAAGTGTCACTTTTTCTGTCTATTTAGGTAATCTCTACTGTTTAAGAGTGACTTTGTGTGGGGCAGGAGTTTCGGGGGGCAGTGCTGGAGACTGAAACCAGGACAATGCTCTTGTCCATGCTAAGCACTTGCTTTAGAAGGGTGCTATGAGCTTTTTGTGTTTAAATCGATTCTTCTTTTATTTGCTTTCCATCTATCACTCTGCTTTTTTTTTTATACCCTCCCCTTTAGATTATTTATCTGTATGATTCTATTGGATCTCCAAAGCTATGGCTCTGTCTTGTTATTTTAGTTGCTTTAAGGCTAGACTATGCAACTTTAACTTATCACAAGTCTACCTTCAAATGGTAATAGGATAATATACCAATGAGAGAGAACCCTAAACAATGTGATGTTATTTCCTCCTCATGACTGGGTGTTCGAAATGGAGCTTAGAGATGAGAAAGAGCTGGGAGAGTGCTCAGAGATACAGCATCTTGGGAGAACTTGGGAGACTCCATATTTAATCCAGAGACAGACAGACAGACACGCACAGATAGATTATGAATATGAATTTGTAATGATAACTAAGCCAGTGAACAGCACGCCAGAGAGATCTGTATGCTTCCGGAGTGTGGAAGGCAGAAGACGAGGGATGCTGTCTGATGGAGTGGAAGCAGAAACTGAGAAGGAAGGTCAAAGGTCACACAAGTGGGGAGGGGAGCTCAGAGATTCCAGGAATGAAGGGAGGGAGTCTGGGGTTGGAGATGCTCTTTCCCCACTGGGTAAATCATCAGGAGCTGCTGACATCCCCACAGGTGTGTCTTACCACCCTTAAGTGACACTGGCTAGGCAAGAAGACCTACAGTTGAAGGGGTCCCAGTGAGGTTTTGTTTTGTATTTTTGGTTTTGAGACGGATTTTCTTTGTGTAACAGTCATGGCTGTCCTGGAACTCACTCTGTAAACCAGGTTAGCCTTGAACTCAGAGATCTGCCTGCCTCTGCCTCCCTAGTGCTGGGATTAAAGGCGTGCGCCACCACTGCTGGTTTCTTGAATAGGGGCAACCTAGGGCCACCAAATACTTGACAAAACTGTCAATAAGCAGATGAAAAGGTGATCCAAGGACACCAAAGGTAATTTGAGAAACAGAAGAGTACTTAAGAGAAGCTGATCATTTTCAGAGATTCAAGGACGACACTAAAATGAACTGGATGCTATGAAAAAGAATTAAAGATGGAGAAAGCTTTCTGGCAAATAGCCCTGGGAAACAGGAAAGAGTATTTCCAGGAAGAAATATTCCCCAAATACCATGCTAGAGTGAGAGAAGAGAAGCAATAGGGAGTCTGCTTCCCCCCCCATATGTGTGCATAAGTGTTCATGCATGTGCACACCATGTGCGTGTGGAGGCCTCACATGTCCTTCCTGGGGAGCCTGCTGTGTGAGACAACCTCTCTCACAGGCTACTCAGGCCAGCCAGAGGTCTCGGGGTTCTCCTGCCTTCTTAGCATTGAGATTCCAGACACTACTACCCTGTCTGTTTCACATGGGCTCTGGGGATTGAATCAGGTCCTCATGTTTGCAAGATACTGACAGACAGCTATCTTCTCCACCCACATCTGTTTATGAATCTAGAAGAGAGACCTAGGGAGAACAAAGAAGTTGGAGAAGAAAAAAGTAAAAACTCCCCTTAGACGAAGGGTCTCACCAGCTTGGAAAAGTTTTCTAAATACTGGGCAGACAGCTGCGGAGTAATCCTCACTGTTGTCATGGTTTATATCAGGTACAACTGATTCACAAATTTGTTTTTCATTTCGTGTGTGTGTGTGTGTGTGTGTGTGTGTGTGTGTGTGTGTGTTTACGTGTGGAAGCTAGAGGTTGACTTTTGGAATTAGGAATTATCCTTGGTGCTCTTCTGCCTCATTCTTCGAGGCAGGGTCTCTCCATGAAACCCAGAGCTCACAGACATGATAGTGGGTCAGCCTTGCTCTGGGCATCTCCTGTCTCAACCTACAGAGGCTGGGATTATAGCCTGGGTATCTCATCCACTTGGGATTATGTGGGTTCTAGGGATCTGAACCCTGGTCCTCATGCTTGCACAGCGAGGGTTTTACTACCATGATACCAACCTGTCCCACAAATTATTTGTTTATTTGGTATCTATCATCTATCTATCTATGTATCTATGCTTTTCCAGACAGCGTTTCTCTGTGCATCCTTGGCCATCCTGGAGCTCACTCTGTAGACCAGGCTGGCCTCAAACTCACAGAGATGATCTTCCCTGCACCACCACTGCCCAGCTCACAAACTTAAAAGGGAAACCCCAGTAACTTATAGGAGGAATAAACTCATACTGGCAGCAGAATCACTAATAATAGTTGGTTTTAAAATTCTGATTAGTTTTTAACCTAGAATTTATATTTTATTATTATTGTTATTGAGAAAAGTTATGCTTGCAACTGCTCTGAGATATGCCTGGGGACCACTGTTTCGTTTTTTTTTTTTTTTTTTTTTTTTTTTTTTTTTTTTTTTTTTTTTTTTTTTTTTAAAAACGAATAAACTCTCCAGTGCTCTTGAGTCAGGGGTGTTTATTTCTTTGATAAAACTGAAAAGGAAATGCTCACCCTCAGGTATTGGCCACTATTTAGGGCTGGGGATAGAGGTGGACAAATTATTGTCCCTGCACCACGTTCCTTTCAAGCTTGTGACCACATATTTTTCCTGGAAGGGACCTTAATTTTCACCAACCAGAACTGTCAGTACTCTCGGCTACCCACTGTGATGACGCAAGACCTCAACAATTCTTGAGACTCCTAGACCTCACTGCTCTTCTGGTAGCCCCAGGCCCACGTTCGGAGCACGTGACTCCCCCCCCCCCGCCCCGCCGGGTGCCCCCGGCCCCCCCCCCGGGCCCGTGGCCCCCCCCCCCCCGGCCCCCTGCGGGTTTCGGCTTTACTCGCTTTGGGTCTCTGGGTCCTCCTCAGTGTCTCACGCAAGGTGGATTTGCAGACATTAAATCCCCAATCCTTAGCTCTGCCGAATGTGCGCACTTTTCCCCGTGAATGCGATCCCATTGGGCTAAATTCTTTAAGACCCGCACCGATCCAGCCTTTTTTTTTTTCACAGCACCGGGCTGCCCCACTAATCAAAGGCACCCAGAAGGGCTTGGCTGGGGTCAGCTTTCCCTTCCACTCCCCAGGCCAATTCTTGGGCATCAATCACTGTTTCCCTTTCTCCCGCCACCGCCCCGCCATTTTTGGCGCCGCCCACCACTCGCCGCTGTTCCCACCTGTCACCCCCATGCTGAAGGAGGCTCTGTCCGGGAGGCGGGAGCGGGCTGGTGGCTGCTGCCCCTCCGCCTCCAGTGCGCTCTTTGGCTAGCCAGGTGGAGGGGCGCTGGGATGAAGGGGGCGCTGGCGCCTGTGATGCTGCGGCTTCTGTGACGTTTGGGATCTGACTGGCAGGAAACTTGAAGGTCCATGCCAAGGATGTGGGTGGGAGCAGCTGAGGATCTTACAAGGTTTGGAGGTCAAGCAGCCAGGGTACCGAGACAAAGACCTGGGGCAGCTAACCACTCCAAAGCAGACCAGGTATGTGGGCAGCAGTCCTGGGTAACGACAGGACTCCGAACCTCTTCAGGCCACAAAGTCGCTGCATTTTTGAAGTTCTAGGATTCCTCCAAGGACGGCTGAATCTCAATCTAAGCAGTATGTGTGTGCAGCACATACACCCATTCGGTTTTCCGGGGTGATCTTAGAGTTTTTTACAATTACATTTGTTATTTGTGTGTGTGAACACTTGCATACTGTGGCCAGTGTGGAGGTCAGAGGACAACTTTTGGGAATTGGTTGTCACCTTCCACCATGCAATTCCTGAGGATCAAAATCAGATTGTCAGGTTTGGTGTTAAGCCTCTTTATTCAGAGTCATTTTAGCTGGCTTTAATCTCCCCCCTCCCAGCTGGACATGGTAGCATAAACCTTTATTTAATTCCAGCACTAGGGAGGCGGAGGCAAGGGGATCTCTGTGGGTTTGAGGCCAGCGTGGTCCATGTAATGAGTTCCAGGACAGACAGTGAGACCCTGTCTCAAGTCTATTTAAAAATTGTTTTTCAGTTTGAGACAAAGTCCCATGTAGGCCAGGCTGGCCTCAGATTCTTCATGTAGCCCAAGGCTGGATTACAGGTGAGCACCAGCACAGTCAGCTCTTCCTAGAGACTGGAGCTGGATCGGACAATGCACCTCCATCCTTGATCCACCCTGCGCCCCACAACTGAGGATCTTGTGCTGGGCAAGTCCTCACCATCCATGCCAATGTTCAAACTGATACCAGGCAAGTCCTGAGGCTGCCAGACCTCAGGGACAGGAGAGGGTGAGTGGCAGTCCTGCCCCAGGCAAGCCCCTCCCCCCTTCTGGTGCTCCTGGGCTGCCTGGCCTCTTCACTTCCTCCCCTCAGCTCAGAAGTTTGGCTAGCTACCAGAGGGCAGCCCGGAGAGTGGTAGGACAAGCAGCCTACTTGAAGGAATTTACCCCCAACAGCCGTCAGGGTTGTGGAGTACAGCAAGCGGGCAGGCAAAAGAGACACCACAGCTTACAAACACCCAATCATTGCCCCAAATTTTATTGCTTACAGAGCTCAGGCACACCCCAAACGCAACACCGGGGCTGCAGTTCATGTGCTGGGGCCTGGAGCAGCCTAGCTCATTGCAAATAGCTGGACAGAAGGCGTCCTGACGGATTGGGGGATCGGGCGTGGGGTGATGAGCTTCTCCAGAAGGGGAGGGGTCTCCGCACCCCTCCCCACAACGATTCACAGTTAACTTAATGCTACATTAGTCCCAAGCAGCTACTCCAAGCCCCACCAGGAAAAGCCTGGTTAGGGCAATGTGGATATACGCTCATCTAGGATCTGGAGGAGGCTTGAAGCCGTCAAACCTGTGTGGATGATGGGTCAAGATAGTCCCTTCCCATCCCCTGGCCTGCTTGAGTCCATGCAGAGCCAATGCTCTGCTGGAAGGCAGCCAGAAAAGTGCTTTGAGGTCATCAGAGTGCAAAATGCTGCCGGCAGTGTCTTGCCACCACGATGCTGGCATGCTGGATACTGACTGTGTTTTGGCGGGCAGCTAGCCCTGCATCTGTGGCTTTCTTTAGAATCTGTCATTGCAGACTATTTCTGTGAGGTGGGTCTCATGTCATCCTTCAGTTTCACAGATGAGGGACTAGGGTGCCAGCTAGCCACAGGATAGGCCCCAGTGAGGCTTGATGTTCTGAGGAGTGGTGTCCAGCAGCCACAAACTTGAGGCCTGAGAATCACTTCTCTTCAATACCTTCTACGGTCCTTGGTTGAACAAGCTCAACTCTGGGCCTGGGCTGCAGTGATCTGAAGGCGTGGTGCCTGAAGGCATGGTGCATTCTACCAAGGTGCTAGCATCCTTCTCACCCGCTCTACTCACACTAGCCAATGGCCAGGGAGGCCAGACAAGGGGTCAAAGGCTGCACAAGCCCCTGGGCAGGCACACTTGCTGCCTTGCCCTGTATGAATTGGGCAGGAACCTAGCTCTTCTACCTGCCTAGGTACCTGGTCTTCTTGACCCAGGCTGGAGGCTGCACGCCAACTGCTGGCAAGTGCTGACTGACATGCATGGGTCTGGCCACCATGTTTGGAGCATCATGGAGATCACTGGCTCTCTTCCTGGGGGATGAGACCCCTGTTTCCTCCTTGTCTCTTTACTCAGGAGGCAAACGCTGGGAGGTGCCTTCTCTGCTCCCATTGCTGCTGCAAACCCTGGTCTTACTGCTGAACCAGGGACTGGCAGATCTCCCTGAGCAGACTCAGCCGGCATCTCAGGCCAGCACAGAGCACTGAGATACAAAGGAAGCCTGCTGTGGGCAGAGTGGAGCTGGTGGTGGAAGACAGGGCTAGGGCCGGTTCTCCAGTTGGCCATGCTTGACCCTCCAGCTCCAGGCAAAGCTGCCATCAGGGGCCAGGGTGCATTGCAGGTCGATGCCTGAGTCTGGCACCTCCATGTCATAGTGAACAGGCTGTCCATCTTTGGTCACCAAGCTGAAGGCTGTGGCTGGGATCTGTGGGGAAGAGCAAAGCAGTGGGGTGTAAAGCTGATGGTCCCCAAACATGCTCGGACATCTGCAGGCACCCAGGCAACCTGGAGAACACTGCCCGTTCTTCACTCTGGAGGACTTGGAGAGTCCTAGCCCAATTGTAGGTCCAGAGATTCTCAACAGTCCCTGCCTGTCTTGCCCTGGGATCTGGAGGACAGTTAAACCAGGGGCCACTATCTTCCAGGGTGCCATTTCTACTTATTTGAAAGCCTTCCTACTGGAGTACTCTGTCCCTAAGTGTGACCGGCATCCATACCTGGCTGCTGATGCCAGTTGCAATGTCTCCCACCTTGACCCGGTGGAATTCCCGGATGTGAAGGTGTTCGCCATTGAGAGACTGTATTTGGACCTTGACACCTAGAAGGCAAAAGTGGACAGTGAGGGCAGAGCAGTGGTCGGTCACCCAGAGAGCAGGGGCAGGAGCAGGGGCAACCTCTGTAAAGTCACTCTGCCGTCACAGAGAGGAACAGTCTGGCTGGGGTGAAGGTGCAGAGAGGACATTTAGGTTAAGGGGCCCTAATGTTACACAGCTCTCCCTGACCAGCAACGCCTGGAATTTGGCTTGCACCTTGCTAAAAGCTGAAGTTAGCTCCCAGGGGTAAGCAGTAGCCTACTCTGGATATACACAAAGCAGAAAGGCACTGAAGACAAAGAGCCCCTCCCCATGACTGGGTTATTGGTTTGTCACCTGTCTGTCTCTTTACTCTTCACAGTCCCTCCATCTAGATCCCCCACCCCAGCACCTTTTAGTTTTTTAAGACAAGGTTTCTCTGTGTAGCCCTGACTGACCTGGAACTCAGTCTGTAGACCAGGCTGGCCTCAAACTGATAGAGATCC